AGCCCGCAAGGCCCCGAGCAAGCAGGTTTTCAGTGGAGCGACTAGAAAGGGGTGCAGCAGCAGGGCTTTGGGTCTGATGCCAAAGATGGCAAAAAGGCTGCGCGCCCAACACAGCCTGGAGAGCGTTACAGCCAAACGGCAGGGGAGGAACGCTGGCCATCTCGGACTCAAAGCTGACTGTGATTTCTTGAGAAATAAAGCGCCCTAAGATGTTTCTGTGATTTTAGGGGATGTTTAGCAATGCGTATGCTTTTTCCCTCTCTTCTGTACAAGACATATTGTACAGAAGAGCTCTTAGAGGAGACAATACTTTGGATCTGTAAGACACTCATGACTGGCTTTAAGACAGCAGCAGCTGCCAATCTAGGTTTTTCTGTATTTCGTTTGTTATATATCTTAGTAGCAATCTATTAAAGACTATGAGATAGTGCATGTACAGGCAGCTAAACTTTCAAGAATAAGATTGTGATTTCCCAAGCAGTGTAGGAATGCTACATACAATAAAAATGCCTCAGCACTGCCTACATTCTGTTTTAGGCAACGGCCCTTTTTTGGCATAGAGAGGAAAAACAATTTGACCTGCAGCATCTCAGATGATGAGAATGTGTCCGACCTGGCTTGATTTTTCAGATGCCAAGTGCATTTGGAAGCACTGGCATATAGGAAAAAACAAATGAACAGGCCTTTTTTTTTCTTCTCAATTTAAAGAGTACTCGGAAGTAAATCAAACCCTGGAACCTTATGGATACTATCTTTTGCAGATATTTTTTAGAGTAAAATTATACTGTACAGGGTGGTATCACTCCTATGCTTAAAACTGCCATTTTTACTTGTGGGCTTTTTTTTTTACCCTATGCTACTATACTGCTCTACTGTACTGCTTTTCCCTGTGGACTCATTACAGCTTGTTTCTTCTTGAGATAAAGCAATATGGTCCTCTGTCTGATAACAGGAACAATAAGTGCACTTTTGCTTCTAATTTGACTGCTATTTGAGATTATTATGTCAGCGAATTTTAGTCTACAGGCTATTTTTTTCCCTTGACAGTAGATAAATGGTACTTAGAGACAGGTGTCAAAATGGGGAGAAAAGCAGTGATATTCTCCCAAGGCCTATCTATAAAAGGAGAGCTGCTTTTTGGTCTTCAGTGTGCCCTGTTCTACCTGGATTTGGCTTCACTTTGTTTGGAGAAGAAACAACAGATGGTAGTACTGCCACATGCCTTTAGCACCAAAAAAAGATATCACTAAGAGTACACAGGGCAGATCTGTGGATCCTCCTTCTCTCTTTTGTGTATACGAGAGAGCTAACAATGTTAATGTGAGTTATCACCTTCGCAGGCTTCTTAATTGACCTTATTTTCAATGAAGAACAATGTGTTTCTCCACCAAGGGAGCAACTAGATGCAGGATTACACGGGTGTTGACGCACTGTCCTTTTTCATTCCTTATAGGTAGTCATGATCAACTCCAGGAAAAGATATATGATTAACCCTGATAATCCACATCAGCACCAAAGCTTTAATTAAAATTCCAGTAAGACAAGTTAGAGAATCTATCTTGATGAAAAACTGTGCTTTATGGGAGTGGAAGCATCCCACAGATGTCCTTACATCATCTTACTTTTCATTAATATGCAAAGATTTTATCTGGCACTATAAGTAGATCCGGTCCTTTTATCTATTTATAATATAATCTCTGATTCTACATCACATCTTCACACAGTCTGTACCGTTTATGTTTTAAGTCCTTCTCAGTTGTGGCTTTAGGATGACAGATTGACCATGCAGAGTGCAGTGATAACTAATCAGATGGACTGCTGAATATAGGCCAAGAAAATGCTGAAAGTTGTCATAATATGAATCAATATGTGAATCCCTAGATACAGACAAAGATGTCAATGTTTAAATCAAGAATGGATCAAGGGAAGTTGTCATGCTATTGCTTAGTGGAGTCTTCGCTTCGAAAGAGTGAAGGTTCCTGGCTTGTTTATGTCTTGTCATAGTTCAGGTAGGATGGATAGTAAGGCAAAGTCTAAATGTAAGGTTATTATATGTACAACTGATTTGCTCTTGAAGTGTTATCTGCGGTGTAATTAAATTTACTGTTAGATAATTCTTGACAAATCAGGATGTACATACGTTCCTCCAGAATAACTCATTGTAATGTCAAAAGTATACTTGTACTTTATTCATAAATGACAGGGTTATTTGTGCATATACTTACGTGCACACATGTATATGAGTATAAACATACTCATATACATATTCTACTTTTTAATATAAATATACTCATATACAAATACCATCTAGTCATGCATCTATAAATAGTGGATAAAAAGGAGTTCTTGAGAGCAGCATTTCTCACAAAAGCAATGAAAACCTGGCAGGCCTGTGTTTATGGTAAAAATGGTTCCTACTTCTGTCTAAAAAGACTAGAACAATATATTATTCTGTGATTGCCTTGCTGGTGAGAGCAGCTTTTATAAGAATGATATTGTAGTTCTCCAGCTAATGGGAGCAGCATAAAACTCTGAATAATACAGTGAGCAAAAGACTACGCTGTAGCTGGAGAGTATTGCATAAAAATGTCTGTAGGGTTATTGAGCTGGGTTATTCCTTTAAGCGGTATGCTGTAACCCATATTCGTAGCATCTAACAGAGCGTGCTTTCTTGGCTAAGGTAGTGCAAGTCTGAGCTATCTCAGGCTTTCTTCTGTTCATTTAAGATTTCTCAGACCTCCAGGGGTATGTTGTCAAAGCAGAACTGGGTCCTTCAACAGGAAAAATCAGCCTGAAAAGGCCAACAAGTAACAAGCCTTCCAAATAAATTGTGTACATGTCATCAATGAAAATGTTAAGGCAGATGGGGAAAAAAATTGCCTACCATGTCTTCAAATAAAGATGAACAGGAACTATACTGGAACCTATCAGAACATACTTTAAAATATTGACGAAAAGAGTTGTCAGTCAACATGCTAAGTCAGACCAGCCTGCCTTTAGAGGCTTTTAAAACCTAACTTTTACAACTGGCACATGTTTAGGCTTAGTAGTGTAAAATGTGAATAGAATGTGTCCATAATATTGTTGAAGAATAAGTGTGCTTTCCTTTAAAGAAGTTTCAATATTCTCAGAAAAACTTGCACGTTTTAGAAGCTGTCCTGATACCTTCATCTCATGCCTGTCAAGATATTTGTTGCCTCACAAAAAAGCAGGATTTTTCTGAAAATTCACTGATTCACACTGAAGAGTGCACACTTCCAACAGAAGCAGAAGAGACCCCGCCCCAATTTTTGGGCAGTGTTTACATGCACCCTGTGTAATGTCATCCTCTTTTGGGGGGTTGCTTTTTTATTTAACGTAAATAGGAACAAACCCATAAACTCTGGCTAAAACTTTCTCATGAGAATGGCTTTCGCCAGGGTTTCTCACTGTAAAACCTTCTGCTTCACTTTTAGGTCAAACACAAACCCCGCTATATTTATAGGGGAAAGCTTAAAGGTCCCATCTCAGTTGACAGACAGCGTGACTCAGCAGAAGAGCTCTGCATGGTGTTTCCATAATCCTAGCAGCTAATCTCCTCTTATACTTAGATTTAAAAAATAAGAGTGCTATGATTTTTATTCATGAGGATTATTAATAATAATTAGCAAATTAAAAGCCTTCTCTTCATATTATTCTACTTTTTAATAATAGCCTTAGACACTTCTTTGCAGGGGAAGCGGATATGCAAGAAGCACGGTGTGGGTTTTTTTTGGCTGCATAGCACTGGAAAGTTAATTGGAGCCTAGCATTGCGCTTTGTTTTCTCTAAAATATTATCACTTTTAACCGGATATTTATTAGGAACTCGCACGCACGTGCGCCAGGTGTGCCTAACCGTTCTGACTCTGCAAGCCCTACGCCAGTGTTTTGTGGCTGAGAGCTGGCTGACGAGCGGCTTCGCCTCGCTGGGGCTGCCCGTTCCCCCGCCGCGGCGCTCTTAGCAGAGTAAAACGCTCCCAACCCCCAGTGAGAAACACATACGTTCAACTTGGTAAAGTAAACGATGGGGGATTTGAACCTGACTTTGCCTTTCTGCTGATGTAACTGTTCCTCAGCCGGTATGGAGCACGGTGTACATTGGCCAGTTTTCAAAAAAGTCCGTGCCGACACTTCGTCATCTGTAAGAAAGTCGATGATCACATTGTGGGGAAATACAAAAATGTATGAATTGTTCAATGTTTAGGCCAATTTCTATTTCATTTTAAATCCGAAGCGCTGTGGTGGTACTGCGCAGGTACACCTCTCACGTTTTCTTTCCCAAGGGTAATTAGCACTTGATTTAAAAACCTTTGGAAACACTGATTCACCTCAAGTACTTTCTTAAGAAGAAGAAAAGTGATGAGAAATCACATCTGAAGAATAAATGAAAGACCTTCTTGGCTTCTTGTGTAGTCTTCAGCAATGTGGCTGAGCCTTAATACAAAGCATAAAGGCCCCGGGCAGATTTTAGAAAATGGAGCTTTCCAAAATTCAGGAGGTATACATTTAAAGTCTGGCTTTCGGTCAACTATTAATCAGGTCTGTATTTTTGTCTTTGTAAATGGCTGGTGCAAATCATTGTAGGCATAACCTTCTGCCAGTTACATTTATAAATATTTCAGTCATCTCAATATCTGATTCGGAGCATCCACATATTTTATTCTCATGATTCATCGTAAACTGTCCAAATATAGACTGTCCAAAGCTGCACTAGCAGTGGTTTGTGTCTGCTGTTTGCAATGGAAAACCAGGGCTGAGTACTGAACATATTCCTTGTTGACACAGAAACGAGTTACCATGTCAGCTGCTTCACTGTAATTGCTTATATGCCAGAAAAACAGTCACTTAAAAAAATACAAGTTTTATCCTAGAAGTTGATGAAAGATAAAGCTACAAGACGAACACAACTGTAACATGGAGTAAAGCCCATTTGCTTAGGTTTTGAGGGGTCTAACACTGTTTCTAACTTTATTTTTTCAGAATGGCAGAGACTCATGGTTTGGTGGAGAGACTGGAGAAAGCAGTGATTCGGCTTGAATCATTATTTTCAGATTCACACAGATCTGGTGGATTGGAGTGTGACACAATCAATGGAGTCAATGGAAGTAAGCGCGCTTCTTTTTGAAATACTGTCTATTTTTGATATTAGAAAAGTAGCTTGTAAGAGGAGCATGTGCTTGTTGTATAAAAGGGAATGCAATCCCACCCCTTAGGACTTTCACATTAAAAGGAAGTAATACGTATTTGGAAATGACATGTGACAAGCTTAGCCATAAGCATAACTATAGATTTATGCAGCCTAGAAAATTCAAGATTTGACTAGTCTGTTAAATATTCTGACCATATTTCAAGCTTTATTGCTCTTTTCATTTTAGCATTTATACTGTTGTAGGCAACTCACCAGTTGAAATATGTCTGCTTGAACCCAATTAGCAGAAGAAATGAGATGTCCTAAAAATTTACAGCATAAATATTCCTGAAGAAGTCAGAAATATAAACACTAGGTGTATTCTTCAGTTCTGTGAATGTCACAGTGCCAAACTACTTTATTTAGTTGCCTGATATCCTTAATCAAATAGGAATCTGTTCATAAGCATTTGCTCACTAAGAGCTGCCACACATCCTTGGCCTTATTCTGTATTCTCTCTTGAGTTTTCCCTTCTGAAGTGGCTCTCCAAAGTACTACACTGGAGAATAGATGGAAAAATCTGCCTTCATTTATTCACCCCATATTGCCAAATCACATTTTTTCACTCCTTAAATTTCTTGTTATTCCTGAAATTTACAGGGTAAATAAACTTATAAATAGGGCAATTCTAATGTTGATTGAACAGAGGTGCCCTCACCCTTCTCAAGAGCTTGCTTTTTCACCCAGTATCCTTACATACTCACCCTTTCTTAACTTGATGTCCTTTGTTTTCCGTGTCCCTTGGCCCTGCGTTCTCCAAAGAAGAGCACATGCCAGCATGGGCTCAGCTGCCATGCAGAGTAAGCAGAAAGCTGCAAGCAGCTACCTTATTAACACAGAAGCACGTTACCGAGGTCAGCTGCTTTATCGTAACTGTATGCCAGGCCTTACCCGACAACACATGCAAGGGACCCTTCCCCACTTTCACGTGTCGTGGGCTGAGAACCTCCACACTGGCAGTTACTGTGGGGCAGCTAACTTACAGCAGTGTGTTTGTATGGCAGGAAGGCAGCATCTTCCAGCAGGCCTCCCAGCAGATGTGTTTGCTGGTCAAAGCAAGCTTCAGTAATAAAATCTGTAAAGTCCAGAGAAGGTCTAGACAGCTAGTAAACCTTAGCAAAGTCAGGGAGAAACATATGATCCATGCACAAGATGACAGAGAAATTAATCGCTACTAGGAACTCTACATTTTTCAAAAACATAAGCTTCCCTCCTAAAATGAATCATTTAGGTAGATCTCAGTGGAATCAGGACTGCTTTCAGAACAGGAGATCAACTCACTATGTTACGTGCTCACACAAAAATTGCTATACCCATGACCTAACCTAAGATCTGAAACAGGCGAAGAGATTCACCCTTCAAGGAAGGACAACCTTAAAACCCCAGCAGAACCCCAGAAAAAAACAACTGACAAACCTTACTGGTGAGAGATTATAAAATAAAGCCAGTGGGTGACTGCAGTAAGCAGCAGGGAAGAGTGGGGCCATGGGATGCTTGCCAGCCTGCACCGCTTCTGCAGGCTGAGTTATCTCACGCTGGAACACATCTAGCCTTTGCTGATGCAGTTAGGGAAGACCGTAACAGTTCTTCAGTTTGGGCAATTGATACACTTAGGTGCCACAAACATAATTCTGTATGCAGTGTATGCTGCTGTGTTTCTGCAGAGATTGCATAGTCTCCACAGCAGTTGCAGAGCTGACAGGCATACAGAAAAGGGCTCTCTTTCTCTTTCTGCTTTAAAACTGAAACTCAGACAAAGAACATGAAATTTTTAAAGTCTTTAGTGGAGAGGTGAAAGTGAAATGGATAGTGGAATGGAATGGAGATATATTGCTTTCTTCTACCGTGACCCCCTTCCACAATTATTACGAAAAATAAGCGTGACATTTTTATTAATACTTTTTCAGAAATGGCAAAATAATGAGGAGGATGGGAGAAATGTACCTTTACTTTTTTCCTTAATGGCATTACAGTGGCAGGATTGCAAACAAATCATTCAATTGCTCTGCACAGCCCACAGCAAGCCCTCGTAAATGCTCCTGGACGTTAGCTGTACTGAATAGTTAAAAAAAAGTATAGCTGCTTTCTGGTTTTACATAGGACAAGTGCCATTTGGTGAAATGCTATTTAAAACTCTGCTCTAAAGTAGAAGGTTACAATGATTCTCTTGGAGACACACACTGACTTTGACAAAGAACATTAAATGGGCTTTGGAAAGCATCTCCACAGCTAAAACCTTTTGTACATGAGGTCATTTGAGGGGTTTACACATAAACACTTAATATGGAAGAAAGCCCAGAAATTCCTCAGAATTAAAGGTGAGTGACATCAAGAGAACAAAAGGAGCCTTGAAATCCCGCCTACCTGTCTAACTACAATTATTTTTCACGGACCATTGCAAACTCCCATTGCCAGAGCCTTTCTTTTTTTCTGTCAAGGAGCCAGATGACTCTTATGGAATAAAGAGGGCTTTCAAGATTATGAATTTGGACCCAGTTGTCATATACTGCCAAAAGGTTACAGCAAACTCTCCGAGGAAAGCCTGGTACCTCTTCAGAGCAGTCTTCAGGCTTCATTAATGAGGAAGAGAGGCTGGGAAGAATTTTAACCTTGGTCTCTCAGATCTCACAGATGCCATAAATTCACACATGCGTCACTCATGCTGGACCTGGCAAAGGTTCTGAGGCATAAACAAGACATGAGGATGTGTCAAGGAGTAAAGGGAGGGCTGGAAAGCATCCTGGAAAAGATTACTTGTGCTGTCTTAGAAGGTATCACATAAAGCCATTTAGAAACTCAGTTATGTAAGAAACTGACTCTAATGTGGGTTTTCTGATTGTCTACTTTATCAGGGAACAGTCTTCTGTATGCTGTCTGGAAAACGGCATTTTTATTCCTCTGTCAAAATACACAGCACATACATAGCCATTGGGATGTGTTGTCTAGAAGACTTGTTTGAGTTTTCTTTCGCGAGTGGCAGTTTTGCAAGGTCATAAAAAAAAATAGGGAGATTACAAGGCCACATCTCACTGCATAAATTGACTGGCAACAGACTGATTCCTTTCAGGTGCAGAATAGAACTGTTATCTAAAGATTCGATCTCAACTGGAAATTGAATTACTTATTATTAATGGCCACTAAACACTATAGAGAGCTTCGAGAATGGGTGGGTGGTATAAAAATAGTTGTCCAGTACATTTTTTTTAGGGGATGACATTTTTTTTATGTACAATAATAGAATTTTGTTAAGACAGTCATGTTTTTCAGGCCATTAGGCCTTTGAAGGACTGAGGAATGTTTACTTTAGCACCTGCTATATTAGCACAGGAGAGGCTTGACACTTATAGCATATAGATTAAATTCTCTTCATGCTCCTAGCCAGTTTCTACCAGGAGCAGTTATTTTTTCCTTCTAGCTAGAAAAAAATCATTATACAAGCTTTTTCACAGATTTCACAGATCAATGAATACAGCAGAAATTAGGTTAAAGCAACTTCCCCGTTTCTATGGTATTTCTCCCACATGTGCTACAAAGGAAAGTTCTATACATTATGTACTTTATGAACCAATTATAACAGAATGCTTTTCTTCCATAGGCATAGCACCATATGTTGAAGCCTTTGATAGGCTGCTGAATGGGAGTGTTGCTGAGTTTCTTAGGTACAGCAAGATTCTTGAAGGTGATGTGAAGACGCATGTGAGTATTTATCCAAATTTTCCCCCACAATATGTGTACAAGTCTTGAGATTTCACAGAATCATGGAATCATAGAATGGTTGAGGTTGGAAGGGACCTCTGGAGATCATCTAGTCCAACCCCCTCTGCTCAAGTAGGGTCACCTAGAGCACATTGCACAGGATTGTGTCCAGATGGGTTTTGAATATCTCCAGGGAAGGAGACGCCACAACCTCGCTGGGCAACCTGTGCCAGTGCTCAGTCACCCTCACAGTCCAGAAGTTTTTCCTCATGTTCAGACGGAACTGCTGTGTTTCAGTTTGTGTGCGCTGCCTCTCGTCCCATCGCTGGGCACCACTGAAAAGAATCTGGCCCCATCCTCTTGGCACCCTCCCTTCAGATACTTGTACACATTGATGAGATCGCCTCTCAATCTCCTCTTCTCCAGGCTGAACAGGCCCAGCTCTCTCAGCCTTTCCTCATAGGAGAGCTGCTCCAGTCCCTTCATCATCTTAGTAGCCCTTCTCTGGATTCGCTCCAGGAGCTCCATATCTCTCTTGTACTGGGGAGCCCAGAACTGGGCACAGGACTCCAGGTGAGGCCTCCCCAGGGCTGAGTAAAGGGGAAGGATCACCTCCCTCGACCTGCTGGCAACGCTCTTCGTAATGCAGCCCAGGATCCCATTGGCCTTCTTGGCCACAAGGGCACGTCGCTGGCTCACGGTCAACTTGTTGTCCGCCAGGACTCCCAGGTCCTTCTTTGCAGAGCTGCTTTCCAGCAGGTCAGCCCCGAGCCTGTACTGGTACATGGGGTTCATTCCTCCCCAGGTGCAGGATGCTGCACTTCCCTATTTTAATCTTTAGGAGATTCCTCTTTGCCCTCTCTCCAGCCCGTCGAGGTCCCTCTGAATGGCAGCACAGCCCTCTGGTGTATCAGGCACTCCTCCCAGTTTAGTATCATCAGCAAACTTGCTGAGGAGGCACTCTGTCCCTTCATCCAGGTCATCGATTTGTATGATCTGCCTTGATTGTAGAGTAAAAGAGAATCTTAATAGCAGTTGTCTGAATAATTATTTCTTGCAGCAGTAATAACGCTGGCATAACACACTTGGACATTTGATTGGGGAAGGGCTAATGGCTGTATGGTTGCATAAGAAGAGGATGTCCTCATTCTCCAGCACCGAAGCTCAAAGGCCACTGTATACAAAGTACATAAATATTCGTAATCGCAAGCCATTTGAATGGTCCTGTTGGCTGCTAAGCCCTTTGCAGGACAGGAATACAATTCAGAACAAGATTCAACAAATGAACAGCAAACAGCAGGAAGAAATGCAGGGTAGAGCAGTGATAACTTCTTTTAGTTACATCTTCTGAGCATGTATATCATCATACCAATTCATGTAAAGATTTTGCTTTTCTTTCTTTTTTTTTTTGTCACTCACATCTCTTCCACTTGGAAGTGACATAGAAAACCTAAAAAAAATTGGACATATCAGACTTTAAAATATCCCTTTTTTACCCCATATGTCATAGCAAGGAAGTACCATGGTATATTTTCATGATGAAGTAACCTTATAACCTTTCTTATAATATGTTTTGATCAGAGCTTGTTTGTTTAATTTTATTTTTTAAGCCTATCTTCTCTAAAGTTGGTGGTAATAGAATGACAAATGATGGACTCATCTTACTATAGTTCACAACAGCTTATCAGTATAGGTTTTACCAAAAAAATAAAAAAAGACCCACACACAAAAGAAGCAGGGTCAGTTTGAGCTGGGTCTGAAGGAGTGTGAAGCTTTTCACTTTTCCTAGTAGGTCCACACCATCCAGCCTTTCTCCATGAGTATTAATCATTGCTCAATTCATTGCAGCTGCTGCTCCACATCACAAACTCTGTAGCCAGAAAAGCATGCAGCACTCACTGCAAGCTACTGGAATTGCAAAGACGGCATATATGTTTTGCAAGACAGCCAAAGTAACCAGTCTATGGAACAAGAGCTCTGGAACTGTTTTGTGAGCTGTGTTTTCTCTGTGCTGTTACATGTTCTTGTTAGTAGGGTAGAGCTTCTGATGTAGATAGGCCCAAAAGATTGGAGGGAGTAAGGAGATGGGACAATTCTAGATGTTCCTTCTGTTTTTAAGGAAAAACTGCATTTCCTTCCTATTTGAAAAAGCCTTTTCATCTTTACAGTGATACTGTAAGCTAGTATTTATCTACCTTGCCCTTAAAAGAAATTACAGAAAAAATAGTAATTAAAAAAATTTCACCTCACTGGGCAGAGAATCGATCCCTGGAACAGATCCTGGAGAGGATCTGTTTTAGCATTGGTCATAAAGTTTGTTAGACACCATTTTTTTGCAGTTGATCTCTCAACAGTCTAAAACTGCAAGATATATAAATAGCCTCAGTAGTGCACGTTGGTAGTGCACTCCAACACCAAGCAGGGAAAGAACTGCATTTAAAATTCCAAATAACTAAACCCTTTTTTAATTTAAACTATCCGTAAATAGCACAAATCTGTAAATGTATTAATTTACACATTTGTCACTGACACTCATAACTGAGTGTCATATAAAAGAATATTTATAATCTGTCTGCCAAGTCTGTGGATAGTCCCTAGCATATTGTTGATGATAGTGTAATGCTAACTGTAATAAGGAATATTTGTTCAGAACTATGAGATAAGACATAAGCAACTTTCCCCTACACAAAGAAACTGGTGATTCTGATTGCAGCCTACTAAATATTCTGAAATCTTAGATTCTGAATTTACAACATGAAGCAGACTGTGGTTGCCTTATGCTCCTACTTATCACTGCAGCAACATCTGTGCTTTACCTTAACAAGTGGAACAAGGAGTGTTTTTCTTCTGGGTGTCTTATAGACCATGTGTCCTCAGCATTATGCTTGCAGCTGCTGTCTCTTCCACATAATGAGCTGAAAGGAAGGTTGTATTTTATTTCAAAAAACACCTGTTGCCTAGAAAACCTCACATACCTGACTGACCAAAATGGTAATATGAGAGAAAGAGAGACTTCATATTATGCTAAAGAAATACAGGATTTAACATGATGTATTTCATGCTGATTGATGTAAGGATTGTGTGGTTTGTGTTTCTCGTGAAAGGAAGAATACAGCCATAACTAATATCTGATGGGGTGCCCCATTCCTATTTTTTTAGCTTGCTGCACTCTAAATAGTCTATTGAAAGAGAACAAAATGAAGAGGAGAATTAATAGCTAGCTCCTAGCTCTGTTAAACACAGTAGCATGGTGGATTTTACAAAGATTAGTTTATCAAAGAAGAGTTCTGCTTAGATTCAGTCTAATGAGCAGCATATTTCTGATTCAAATTACAGTACGTGCAGTGGTGAATCTCTAAGGTCGACTGCATTCAAGAAACTAAGCACTTTTTAAAAGACATAAAATGGTTAGGATTTTTACTTAGTCTATTTAAAGAAAATTATCCTAAATGCTTAAGATTAGATCCTTTTCCTGTCCTGTCCCTGTAGGATAAAAATCTGGTGTTTATATGGGTATTTTCATGGAATACAAAGTCCCCAAGTGGCATAGAATTTATGAATCCACTTGTATGCTGCCCATGTCAAAACTAGAGACCATGTGAAGCCAGTGGGGGAATATGGGCCAGGACTGCTGCCAACCAGCTGTCCTTGGCCTGACATAACAGTGTGTTGGAGGCTGTCACCAACTATTACAGGTTAGAACAGTCCTCAAGCTGATTGACCATGTGTGCTGATAACCATTCCTCTGTCAGACTGAGGGAATTCAAAAGCAGTACAAAGCATAAAAGTATTTTTAAAAGTATAAAAGCAGTATGGTGGGTCTAAAAGCAGTACAAAATAGGCTATGGATCTAAAGTGCAGCCAGATCTTTCACGCCCAGCAGATACAACAGCAATTGTTGATGGCTAGATCACAGAGACACTAGTCCCATCATTCTTTGCCCAGCCACATCCACCACTACACGGCCTGTGCTGAGGATGAGGAAGAGCTGCCCATGAGAGACTCAGTCTACCTTCAGATTGCATCCCTGTGAGGAAGCTGGTCAAGTGGACTTGACTGGCTCTTTGTTCTGTCAAAGCAAAGCAAGCAGGACATTAGAAGGCCAAGAAGCAAGTGTTTATTATGAGCTTCTTCACGTTGTTTTTTGTTTATGTGATATCTCAAGTGATGGGATACTTTGGCTTGAATTTGGATAATGTACCAGATGAGTCGTAATGATAAGAAGAGAATGTACTAGTTCTACAAGAGACGGACAGATAACGTAAGATTTCCATATTATAGTATTTTATATGGCACAAAGCAGAGCAGAATTACAGCCTTCCTGTAAAACACATGGACTGATACTTGTCTTTTATTAGTGTTTATTTGTAAAAATCCTTTAACCTCCCAACCCCACCAGTTCAAAGAACAGATTGTCTGGGTGATTTCAGTTACATTCCCTCTTCTCTCACCCAAGCTATTTATCTTTGAAAGGAAAACTATAGAAATGCTAAGGCCTCTTTCCCCCTATCTTCCATCATCTTCCAGCCGAGGAAACGCAGAGCTCAGACACACAACCAACCACACTGCGGGTTCTGAACATTCAGAAATAAAAAGGCAGTTGGTTAGCTTGTTCCTTATTGGTAGAGGGTTAAGGTAAAACTCATTACACGTATGACTACACAAACAAATTATCATGGAACAGCAATTTATAGCAAGTTATCCAATATGTAGGGGATCCTTGTGTAGATGCACTGGTCTGTGATCAATGTTAGCAGAGGAAGCTATGTTCACTCCCTGGAAACTTGTTTGTATGCACATGCCCAGAGAGTTTCTTTTCTTCATCTATTATATGAAAATAACAATGTTCTCCCTCCTTCCAGGCATTGTCCATGCAAATACAGGCAGACATCAAGAGGCAGGGTTTATCTTTTACAAGGTATATATGCACTTAGCAAAGTGCAGCTCCAGTTTAGCCCACTGGCCAAGCTAAAAAATGATAGCGTCCTCATTCCTTCCAA